AATATTCTTTGGATTCCTCACTAGATCGTCAGCATCAATCACCACTGGTACTATGCCGGTATGCTTACTAACAATTTGGAATAAATCGTGCAACTGTTGCATTCCATTGACGCTTGGTGAAATATCAAAAGAGAGCTTTTTACGAATCTTAACCAAAGATACTATTGATTTTGCTGGGTGTCTAATCAAAAAGGTATGCTTGAGACTGGGTTCTGTTGCATATCGTTCATAATCCCTCTCCACAAAATAGGCGTGATTCTTAATAAAAACAAATCGACAGTCCATGTGTGACTTTAGCAACTCTTCATCAGCAGCTTTATATGTTGCAGAAGGATTAATGTCATCTGTAGCTCTGAGATTGCCATCAGTGTTTCTCTCTGGTCCATAGAAGTATGCTTGTTGGTGAGGCTCGTAAATAACTTTGACATCTTTCAACTCTCTCACTGAACGCTCAAAAACACTTGATAAGCATCTGGGAGCCGTCCAGAGCACAACACGATACTGGTTCACAGATTCAAACTCCATGCCATTTCATTACTTTATTTTACTGACACGCCTTATAATTACCGGCATTCTAATGATAAAATACTCTAATATGCCGGATAATAATAATAATACTATTATAGTCGAGATTATAGTAAAACACGTCCAATAAAACTTTCATGACTACAGAAATAAAAGGGGAAATTCACGTAATATTTTATTCTTAGCAATGTCTGCAAATACGTTACCATTGCTTCTTCTCTTCTTTTATGTGGTGAGAACCCAGGGCCAGAGCTCCTACCTGAACTGTAGCATAGACGCAAGATATCCTCTTCGTTTCGTTGGATTCTTTCCGTGTCTCAACCAATGGGATGAGGTAGGAAACTGTGATAGGCTAACCCTCACTGCAGTGGAAAGAGCTATAGCAGAAATCAACCAAGACACCAACATATTGAGATGCTTCAAAATAGAAATGCTCCCCATCACTGTTGAGGATCCAGTGCAGGTAAAATTGCATGCTAATTGAGACAACCATATTGATGTTCCTTATGATTATTATAGAACCCAACTGAAATAATTGAGTTTTTATATGAGAAGCACAACGATCTACCTATTCATGGTGTTATTGGACCTTATTATCCTGAAAGTGCTCAAATGTTTGCTTATATTTTTGGACATTATCTGAGCACATTACAGGTATGAAACAATTATCAAAAACAATCTAATTGTATACTTTTAAACTTTAGATTTCTTATTCAGTGACTAGTGTACTACTTGATGACAATGAAAGATATCCTTATTTTCACACTACAATTCCAAATGATGAGTATTTTAGTGTTGCTATAAGTAAGCTACTGGATCACTTCAGATGGGGGAGAGTGGCCTTTATATCGACACTTGATGAAGAAAGTGAATCGGTAAGAATCATTCTCACGTTTTCATTTTAAATATTTGATACAATAGGCAATATCTAAAAAATTTAAGCTTGACAATAAGCGAGTTCATCTTTTCAATCCTTTTTTGAACTCTACTGAAAGTATTCTTAACTTTTCGAAGGTAATGTAATTATATGCAAGAGTAACCCTGATATGAATACAGTACCCATAAAACTGTTTTCCTGGATAATTCATTGTCAATATTTCCTCTACCAATCCTTATTCCTTGTGGGAGTAAATTACCCATGCATCTGTTGTGGTTTGGCCCATTCCATCATCAGTACTATGTAAATGTCCCCATACACTAGGCAATATGTTGCTTGCAACATTTGTGGTTACTTTGATCTTGTAAGCAACATGATGCCTAGTGTATGGTGTCCTTATGTTTATTTATACATAAAAGGAGGATGATTTTAGAATATTTCTTGCTATCATGGACCCAAGGACAGCCAGAAATTTACTTTGCCAGGTAGACATATATATTCTCACTCCTATATTCAATTTATTGTCAGGCTTATCATGCTGGTCTTACTACTGCTAAGCATGCATGGATATTACGTGGTATGACTAATCCTAATTGGTGGAGAGTAGAAGATGTAAATGGAACCGATTGTACTAACAATGAAATGAAGGAAGCTATTGAATCAGCTCTGTTTGTTGACATGCAAACATCTACGCTGCCAAAGATGAACTATGTAAATTATGCATACAAATGTTAAGTCAAAGCAATGATTGCATGTGTTTAATTTGATACAGGAAGAAAGAAATGCTATATCAGGAATTTTAAACAACAATGGATCACTAACAGAGGCTGAGTTTTATTCTCTCTTACATTCAAAAGTATTCAATGCTTATGATGCTGCTAGAATACTTGCTCTAACGTGGAATGTGACCATTAATAATTATACCACAGAGGAATTACATAATCTTCTTAATCAATCCTGGAAGATTTTAAATTCAAATCAAAGTAAAACTCTAGTACAAAAACTCCAGCACAATTTATTCAATGTTGTCAGCCCATATACTGGATTAGCTGTAAGATGATTAATCACATTATTCTAATTCTCATTGATAAACAATAGGGATCATATGATTTTGATAAAAATCAAGGAAAACTGGGATCAGCGATTGTAACTCAATTTACAGGTATACCGTATAGATAGAATCTCTGCAAAATTTAATTTAATACGGTTAAACATGGTCAAAAGGTAGAAAACCAGGAAAATTAAAACCACAGAATAAGATTTTTGGATGAATTTTTTGGCTGGGAAAATTTTTTGCTACACGATACTCATGTTACAATCTAATTGCTATTCACTCTCCAGATGTACGTCATGTGTGTACTTAGTATAGTAAACGTTGTTTTTGTAATTGGACTAGTATGAGGAAGCTG